CCTCGTGCTCTTGATTCCGTTGATTTAATAACAATTCGTAGATTTGCGCGAAAAACGTGGCGATATATGGATTTGTACAGACACGAGTTACAGGTAAGTTAGCTGCTAAAAAAATATAAATCGCACAGGAGAATCCCTGAGAATGTATGGGAAGAATTAAGAACAAACTAGTTCCTTAACCGAGATATTTTTTAAATGCTGTCCTCATTATTATTTCAAAGCATTTTATTGGATAATTGTCATGTGATTTATTATGATCTGCAGAACAAAAATTTGGACTGTTTGGTTTTTTAGATGACCCGTACCATAGCTATACTTGAACTACTCCTCTCAAGACAAGTATAAGTTTACCGCTTACGACTACAACGCATTACTCAGCGACACGCTCTTGGGCTTGTACAGTCTAGAATTGAAAGACTTTGCGCGGATGGCCATGGAGAAGGCAAGGGGATCTAAGAAAGGACGATTGTGTGACTTTTATTCATTCACCGACTTTGACGTGGACGATGGAGCTATATTCGTCCTCATCACACTTCAGCTTCTTTCGTACTTAACAAAGATTCTCTTCTGGAACTTTGGAAAGCTATCACGGAAAGTTCGGAACGATGGATTAGCTCTCAGGTTTATGACGTGGAGGATGATCATCTGTTTGACGCCGTACGCAACTTCATCTTGCAGAGATTCATCAATTTATCTGATAAACAAAAACAAATTCTTCAAACAAGTGGTATGTGTATGCATAGTCGTTACTACTTTATTCGAATGAACATCTATTAACGTTTCTTCTTTTTTTTTACTTCCCACTTTTTCGTTTTTGTAAAAAGTCATTCCGGGTACAATTACACGCAAAAACATTACCATCCGTATTATTCGCCACTTCTTGACATACCAGACTACGGAAGGCCGTTACTATTACAGCCTTAATGACTGCTTTTTCTATGGCTTTGAAAGTACTACGGCGTTTACGGAACATCTACGAAAGTGCTTCAAATCTGAACACGTTAAAAAGGTGCACGTGGATGTCTGGGTTACGGCAGTCACTCTGTGGTATATGAGACTGGTCGCTGTTGATTATCGGGCGGATTGGACTGAA